GAAATATAGCAATGTAGCGCACAATAGCGTGAAATAGCGCAAAATAGCGTAAGAAAGCGTGCCGTTTCAACATTTCGCGTAAGCTTTTTGGGAAAAACGCTAATTATATAAGGCTACGTCACGTTTTTTGGAAAAAAAGCTATATAGCGAGCAATAGCGAGTTATATTGTAGTCTACAAAATGACACCGCGCGCGAAAAAAAAAATCACTATTACGCTAGTGAGCATTTTTTCACATATATTAAAAGTTCAGTTATTTTCTTTCGATTTTGGCTTTATTTACAAAATATAAATAAATAACAAAATAAAATAACTGGTCGGACTATTAAAGGATATTAGTTTTATCGATTATCTATCTATATTTATTATTTGTTTTAAAAGAAAATAAAATATTGAATAAAAAGGTATAAATACTAAGTTTATTTTTATTATATAAATAATTTGATAAATACAAAATAAGGTTGATTAAAATATACATTATTAAAAATTTATAAGAATGTAATGCCGATAAAAAATATCGACGCAATAGACTGCACAATAATACGACTCAGAAATACGAAAGAACATGCATCTAAAGAAAAACGACATACTCAAAAATCATACACTCACGTACAGGACTCAATCCAACTCGCCCTATGCTCATATGTTTGCCTTATTGCATGGGAGGGTGATCAATCTTGCCCGAGCTCAGGCGCACATCCTCTTGCAAGGGACCCAGTCCGGCTTGGCCTATACCCATGAGTATCTACAATTAACTCTGTACCTAACAACACACAAGACCTCAACTGGTCGTTTGGTGTATTGCCAGCGTACTCCGACTACCTCACCAACAAGGTGGATGCGTGACGCCAAGTTTCAGTCTCGTGCCCGAGTCATACTGAGACTTGCTCACGATTCTATCACGGACCGAGTGTCTCCATCAGAGACTATGACACGGTATACAGCACATGTCAGATGCTCATATCCACACGATATTGACTCCACGAGTTGAATGCAGCCCTTATGTGCAAAAATATGATTGACCAATAGCAATACAGCATTCCCAATTTGCCTACTCGAGAAACTATCAAATAAGGCATAGGGACTCTTTGGCTACACTCCTCAATCTGAAATCATCGATTAAGGATTTACACACATTTAGTGAGACTCGGAGCTCTCGGTTCAAGGTTCGAACGAAAGGGGTTCAAAAGGATAACCAAGTATTGCAGCATGAAATGGTTTCAACAGTTCAGGAAAAACATCGATGGTTGGCCGTATACACTGGCCTGGGGAGTTCGTGCGTACGGTGATGGCGGCTGCATTTCGCATGCGAACAGTCGGCCGCGCACAAGCCTCCCGTCTCTCAGCATGGTCGTGTGTGCTCGGCCACCACTTCGCGTGGCTACACCCAGCCAGGGCTGGCATTCGGTTAGAGGTTTCACAAGAAGGTTACAATCTCAAATCACCAAAAGAAAGGGTTTTACAAATTAACGGGAATTTTGGGTCCAATATATATTTCAATCCTTTCACAATTTCAAAGGTTTCAAAGTCTCAAAGATAGCAAGGGGAATGTTCGAGCTCCAAGTCCACCGACTCCTCAAAATGACACATTTTATTACACAAAGAGATCAACGAGAATTCTCAAAGAGATTCTAATACGGTTATTCAATCGGGAATAATCCCAAATCAGCAACTCCTGCCGAGAGATACAATAACTGGCTCGCCTCGATTTTTCTGACTATCAGTGTCTGTCGTCGCGTCAGCTCCTCCAAAACTCCGAAAGAAAAAAAAAATGACGTTATCTTCTAGAGTCTATGATGAATAGAATTCCAAACTAAAAAAGTTCTGCACCTCACGATGTGTTGGCTCCGGACTCATCTATCCTCCTTAAAAGATTTCTGCATAATCTTTCAAGGTGGTAAGAAACACTCCTTGACATGCGTTAGAT